TACAGATTATTTATTGTAATCCCCTCTCATTTTTATTATTCAAAACTCTGGGCAAGTGGCAGCAAGTTATCCTATTGTCTTAGTGCCTGTGAATTTGGGGAGTTGAACACAGCAGTTGTACTTTGAAATGGTAGGAATCTTCCTGGAAAATTGTATCTAAATTCATCTCGAGTAAAATGTGTTAAATTTTAATGAGTACAGATTTGGATACATAAGTGTTTTTATGTTATTGTCAATGTTTTTCTGAAGTTAAAAAATTGTAACGTAAAAGAGGGGGAAAAGCTCTAAGAGAATTCATTGAATTATTTTGCTTAGCAAATAATTATTTTCATGAAGCCAGGCATCAAACAAGATGATTATGCAGGGATTAGGAAAATACATAGACTCCATTTTTTTCTTCTTGCTTTACATTTCTTTACATTTGTTTGTTTGTTTGAGGTATGTCCTCAGGGATAGGTTGCAATATTTGAGTTCTTTCACTATGTGGGTTCCAGGGATCAAACTTGGGTCATCATGCTTGGTGGCAAGTACCTTTACCTGCTGATCCATCTTACCAGTTTAACTCTACTTCTTCAGACCAGCCATGTGCAAGCACAGAGGCAAAGAGGATTCTTAACTCTGTGTATGGGGGGGAGGGGGTGATTGTGTGCATATGTGCTAGAGGTATGTAAGTGTGTGGGGTGTGTTTGTGTGTGCATATGGGAGTGGAGCAGCATATGTGTGCATGTAGAGACCAGAGGTCAACACTGGGTATCTTCCTTATATCTGTCCTCCTTAGTTTTTGAAAACAAGGCCGCTCACTGAACCGGGAGCTGGCCAGGTACACAGGTATCTCTGCCTTGCCATCCCTGCTTTACAGATGCATGTTGCTAGGTATGTAAAACATGTGCCCTGGAGGTTTGAACTTGGGTTCTAATGTTTGCTGCGCCTACTGAACTGTCTTGCCAGCCTTGGAGGGTGTTAGTATTATTGACCATAATCTCCAGGGACTGCCTACCACAGCTTCCATTTCTTTGATAAGAGCCATAAAATTAAAGCTGGGCAGTCATTCATATTACCATGTAACTTGACATCCAGTCTGGAACACTTTAGTCTACACCTTAGACCTGTTTCTGCTTTGTGCCCAGTAGTAGATAAATAGTTACACACACACACACACACACACACACACACACACACACACACACACGCCTTTTGCCCTGCAAGCAGAATTATAGCTGGTCATAAATGTTTATTTTCCAAGCTGTCTGTGCACTCCAAACACTTTGTTGAAGAATTGACTGGCTTACTGAACCATACTAATCTTTTTTCTTTCCTTATACTTAGGTTTTTATTTTCTTTGATGTCAAAATCCAGTTTTTAATATGTATATTTTCTTAATGATAAGCTCTGATCTAATTTGTTCTGTATTATTTCGACCATGGAAAATGATTGTTTTTATTTTCTCAAGTTTTGTTTCAGATTGGATCGTGCTGTTAATTATTTCTACCGGTTTGTTATACTTGGCAACTGTTGTATAAATTGCCTTAATCTGTTGCATTAATTAATTTTTATGTTTGTCTTAGTGCCTTCTTTAGGAGATCATGATTTTTTTTCTAATACAGAGAGAGAATATAAATTAATCAGTGAATGAATAAATTGCCAGACTCCTTATCCTTGTAACAAGTAGCCATCAAAGTGATAGTCACATAGTATGGCATCAGTTCTCTTCACACATCTCCTTCCCTCCTTACTGACTGCCCTAATAAGGGGAGAGTTACTTATTTCAGCTAGTGGCACTTTGGAATTTATTGGCCTGTTCACACTAGCTTTCTTAGTTTCTTTTCCTATTAGTCTGACAAAATACTTTTAACAAGAAATCAAGTTAAAGGAGGAAGGGTTTATTTTATTTAGGTCATAGTTCACTATGCATTCTCCATCATGGTGAGGAAGAAAAGGCAGCAAAAGCTTGAAGCAGCTGGTCACATCACACCCACAGTCAGGAAGCAGAGAGGGATAGATGCATGCTGCTGTTTACACAGTCCAGCGAGGGGTGCCGCCCACAGAAGGCAGCTCTCCCCACCTCAGTACCGTGAAAATAGTTCTCTGTGGGGACAGCCAGAGGCCCACGCTCCAGATGATCTTAGATTCTGTCAGGTTGACCATTAACACTAACCATTAGACAGTAAGTCAGAGAGAGAAAACATAGTTAAAGACTGTTTGGCGAGGCAGAGGCAGGCAAATCTCTGTGTGTTCGAGGCCAGCCTGGTCTACAAAGCAAGTTCAGGACAGCCAAGTCTTCACAGAGAAACCCTGCCTGGGGGGTGGGGGTAGAAGCAGTGCAAAACAAACAACAACAAAAATACCCTTTGAGGATTTTCAGAATGAATAATAATGCTTTAAATGTGTCTTACTTAAGCACAGCTATTCTTTTTCACACACAGTGCTCTTAAAAACAATTCAGAGTGGACTACTTTACCTCAACTAGCTGTATTGCTGATAAATATTGTTTCAAAAATGGAGTGGGGATGAGAAACTTTTTGTCTTTTTGAGACAGGGTTTCTCTCTGTAGCCTTGGCTGTCTTGGAATCGATTTGTAGACTAGGCTGGCCTGGAAAAGATTACAGGCATGTACCACCAGGCCTGGCTGTTTTCTGCTTTTGAAAGGGAGGAAGAGATGTAGGTAGGGAGAATGTGTATTGTAGTAGAGATGGGGTTTGAAGCTGACTTCATGGCTCATTCAGTGTGATCTGCAATGGCTTCCTCTTTGCAAAGCTTCAGTATCTCCATTTGTAGAATTAGCATTTGCCAAAGTGCATGGTGCGAGTTGGTGAAGAGTAGATGTTACTTCTGCTTTAAAAGCATTCCTTAGCTTCTTAAGTGTACAGACTTTAGTATGTTTATTCTATATTATATGTCTAATATCCACTTATGAGTGAGTATATACCTTGTATGTCTTTTTGCTTCTGGGATACCTCACTCAGGATGATCTTTTCCAGTGCCCATCATTTACCTGCATATTTCATGATTTCCTTGTTTTTTATTGCTGAGTAATATTCCATTGTGTAGATGTACCACAATTTCTGTATCCATTCCTCAGTTGAGGGGCATCTGAGTTGTTTCCAGCTCCTGGCTATTACAAATAAAGCTACTACAAACATGGTTGAGCAAATGTCCTTGAGCATCTTTTGGATATATGCCTACTAAAATCTCTACACCTAAAGAAACTAATCAAGAAGGACTCTGGCTAAATGCTCAAACCCCATATAACAAGGCAAAGAGGATGAATATCAGAAGAAGGAGAAAACAGGAAACAGTACAGTAGCCTGCCACAGAGGGCCTCTAAAAGGCTCTCCCCTACAGGGTATCAAAGCAGATGCTGAAACTTATGGCCAACCTTTGGGCAGAGTACAGGAAATTTCATGAAAGAAGTAGGAAATAATAAGACCTGGAGAGGACAGGAGCTCCACAAGGAGAGCAACAGAACCAAAAAATCTGGGCACAGGGGTCTTTTCTGAGACTGATTCTCCAACCAAGGGCCATTCATGGAGATAACCTAGAACCCCTGCACATATGTTGCCCATGGCAGTTCAGTGTCCAAGTGGGTTCCATAGTAATGGGGACAGGGACTGTCTCTGACATGAACTGATTGGCCTGCTCTTTGATCACTTCCCTCTGAGGGGGGAGCAACCTTACCAGGCCACAGAGGAAGACAGTGCAGCTACTCCTGATGAGACCTGATAGACTAGGCTCAGAAGGAAGGAGAGGAAGACCTCCCCTATCAGTGGACTTGGGGAGGGGCATGTGGAGAAGGGGGAGGGAGAGTGAGATTGTGAGAGGAAGAAGGAGGGGCCCACGGGGGAATACAAAGTGAATAAAGTGTAATTAATAAAAATTAAAATAAAAAATGGAAAACAAATTCCTTTGCTTTCATCAGGCAGTGGTAGCATTTGCCTTTAATCCCAGCACTCTGAAGGCAGGCGGATCTCTTACGTTCAAGGCCAGCATGGTCTACAGAGGGAGTTCCAGGACAGCTAGGGCTCGAAAAACCAAACAAAAAATTATTGTTTTCATATTTATCACCTTATATCGTTATGTTACTCTTTTACATATGTAGTACTAGCCCATGGTGATGTAGGCTAGAATTTTGGACAGGCAAGAGAATAGTTCTAAATAAGTGTCTGTTGTAGATTTCTTAAAAATATGGGTCTAAAACACAAATTTCTTTGGAATGTACTAAATTACAATGAAATGTAATAGTGATCTATGTTATTGTAAAGAAAGGTTTTGAGTGTGTTCAGTTGGCACTCACTGTTCTTTCTTTCCTATTTTAGAAGATTTTAGAAGAGACTGATATGAACGAGGCTACTAAGCCTATTCCTTGAGCCCTTCATTGTTCAGTCTTTATTTTGACTTGGTGATTTAATAAAATCAAAGTGATTAGAAACTAAAGGTGCCTGGGTTCAAGGCCATACCCCAGCTTTTATTGGTCTTTGTTCATGTCTTCCATTTTTTAGTTTCCTTAATTTCAAAATGTTTTTATTGATCTGTATAGGTACTTGTCTTTTGAGCAGCTTTAGAATAAGGCTTTAAAAATAGTAATAGTTTTGTATTTTGTTAGGATTTATGTATTATTTATTTTTTGTGTGTTGGTGTTTTGCCTGTATGTGTCGCTATGAGAAGGTGTTGGATCCCCCGGAACTGGAGTTACAGACAGTTGTGAGCTGCCATGTGGGTGCTGGGAATTGAACTCTGGACCTCTGAAAGAACAGCCAGTGGTGTTCCTAACCACTGAGCCATCTCTCTAGCCCCTTTGTATTTTATTTTATAAATAATTGTGTATATTTAGAAGTAACTTGAAAGAAAACCCACTAACCTGGAGATGAGATGAATGAGTAGCTTTAAATGTTCATCATTTAGTAATTGTCCTAAAAATATTCCGCCTTCATTGTTTTGGGCTCCCATTGTTTCCTGTACTCCTCCCCTCCTCCTCGTCGGCGTTTTGAAAGACACTACCTGACTGTGATCAAGTCAGATTCAGGTTTCTATCCTTTCATGGTGGGAGCTGGCCCAGATGGCTCCACAAGGTCTGCTGCTCATGGGCTCTGCGCCCTGCATTGGGACCTGTGGACAAGTGTAGCTGCAGACAAAAGAAGAAAAAGTCTGCTGGAGCCAGCAAAGTGGCTTAAGTGGTAAATGCACCACCTGCCAAACCTGAGGGTCTGAGTTCAGTCCCCAGGACCTGTGATAGGAGGACAGACCTGACCCACACAAATAAAAATAACTAAGGGAAAATGTCATAATCATTAAAAAGCTTATGCAGATTTAGCATCAGTGTCCTTGTACTTTTTATGTACAAATTCTAGATATCTCCGTTCCCGAGGTTTCTGTGACATGTTATTGGAAGGAAATGCCTAATTGCTTGAATCATTTACTACAATTTATTGATTTGGGAGAACTGGAGATAGCCATGCAGGCTACTAGGAAACAAATGTGTGCCCTGCTGATGTAAGAGTTGGCAGCTCCTACTCTGTGGAGGCAGCCCTTACTGCAACTTTCTCCATGCACTTTTACTGTTTCTAGAAATTGACCACCTTTCTTCTAGCTCTCACTAGTTCAAATTTTTATATTCAGTTTCTCTTTCCAGTGTTCTTTATTCTTTACTGAATATTGTAAAACAGTATTCAAACTGCTTTGTGGCTTTTTTTAAAAAAAAAAACAATTCTTCATGCTGTCAGGGTGCAGAATTCCCTTCCACCTCAATAATCTTCCTCTACCACAAAATGGAGGCATTACATGAAATTTACTGTATCTTATCTCAAATCTGTGGCATTATTCTTGTGTTTACTTGACACAAATACCTTTCATCCCCTTGTTTGCTTAAATACTCATATTCCCTCAAAGAATTTTTAATTGTGTTTTGAAGATCAGTTTCATAGTTCTTCCCAGCTGTGGTTGTTTCTTCTTGACTTAATCCGGAGATGATTCTGTTATGAATGGTAAACTTTGCTTGCCTTGCAACGGTTTCTTTCCTGGCTAGATTTTTTTTTTTAATTTATTATTTTCAGAGGGTTTTTATTTGTTTTAAGATTTATTTATTTTATGTGTATGAATTTTTTGCCTGCATGTGTGTCTGTGTGTCTTATTCATGCCTGGTACCCGTATAGGTCAGAAGAGGATATCAGATCCCTTGGAACATTTATAACTCTTGGAACTAGATTATAAATGATTGTGAGCTGCCATTTGGGAGTTGAACTCATAACTACTGTAAGAGCAGCAAGTGCTCTTAACCTAAGTGGTTAACCAAACCCTTAAGATAGCCGTGTGTATGTGCATGTGTGTGCCCATGGAGGACAGAAGAGCATGTCAAGATTCCCTGGAGCTGGAGTTACAGGTGGTCATAACATGGGTTCTGGGAATTGGACTCTGGTCTACACAAGAATAGCAAGCACTCTTTACTACTGAACTATCTCTCCAGCCTCCCCCCACAGTAGACTTCTTATCCCTGCCTATTCTCTTTTGCCTTCTCTAGTTGTGGCCCCAGTAGGAAATGGATTCCTTGCCTTTTTTTTTTTTTTTTTTTTCCTTGCAGCATACATATCAAGGCAAGCTGAATTCATTTCAAACTAAGGCCTAAGGCCTGACTTGGTCAGATGAACAGAGGTCCTGACCTTCCTTCAGTGTTGTCTTGACTTTTTTTGGTACTTGAAGATTGCTTGCCAGCTGTGGGACTGGACAAATTGTCCTCATCTGTGGGTCTGTGTTTCTTCTGTAAAATAAGAGTGTTGAGACTCCCTAGCTACTTGAGATTGACTGTACTAGCCAGCATCTTAAGGTGTCCGGGACATAGATACATTAATCCCCTACTCTGATGGAAGTTCTAAGATGATAAGTCCTGAATGCTGGTTGTGTGGCATTCAGCTAACCCTCTGCTATTGTTAGCTTGTAGCTTATGTTGATGGTTATGTAGCCTGAGTGCTGTAACTAACAGTCATGTCTACATCTTGTTAGGGAAATAGAGACAAGAAGAAGAAGGCAAAGGACTCAGCCAACCTTTCTGCTCTTTAAAAGAGCATATTACACATTACTATGTTATATGCCATTGACTACATGAGAATCTGACTACACCTAGAGCACCAGGAAGTACAGGTTTCAATGTTCTCCTTCCCCAGTCAGTTAGTTTCTAGCAAAGAAAGAGAAGCTTTTTCTGAGAAGTGATAAGCAGTCCCTTCCATAGGCAATCAGGAGATTGTCATGTTCAGTGCTTTGAAAAAGACAATGCTTACATGGGAAAATGGAGAAGGAAGTCTGTTTATTTGTGCATGGAGATTCTGTGGGGGGGGTATTTTATTTTTTTACATTAGTATCCATATTTTCAGAAGAATATTAAATATTAACACATATTTGTCAAGTTTTCTTTTTTGGGGGTGGGGTTGAGACAGGGTTTCTCTGTGTATCTCTGACTGTCCTTGAATGCATTTAGGGTGGCCTTGAACTCTACCTTCTTCTGCTTCACAAATGTTGGGATTAAAGGTCTGAGCCACCCAAGCCCAACATATTTGTCAGTTTTTAAGGGAATAAAAAGTTATGCTATTAAGTGATTATAAACATTTTGTCAAACTTTTTTTAATTTTTAATTTACTTTTTATTGATTACAGTTTATTCACTTTGTATCCCAGCTGTAGCTCCCTCGCCCATCCTCCCAATCCCACCCTCCCTCCCTCTTCTTTCCTATGCTTCTCCCCCAGTCCAGTGTAAGGGGAGGTCCTCCTCCCCTTCCATCTGACCCTAATCTATCAGGTCTCATCAAGACTGGCTTCTTTGTTTCCTCTGTGGACTGGTAAGGGTGCTCCCCACTTAGGTGGAGGTGATCAAAGAGCCAGCCCGTGGATTCATGTCAGAGACAGTCCCTGTTCCTATTATTGGGGAATCCTCTTAGATACTGAGCTGCCATGGACTACTTCTGTACAGGGATTCTAAGTTATCTCCATGAATGGTCCTTGGTTAGAGTATCAGTCTCGGAAAAGACCCCTGTGTCCAGATATTTTGGTTCTGTTGCTCTCCTTGTAGAGCTCCTGTTCCCTCAGTGATTATAAACATTTTGTCAAACTTTTTTTAAAGAAAAGTTAGTATTTACTCTACTATCTTGCTTTTATAAAGAGTTATGTCATGTTGCAAAAGGGTATATGAAAATTTTAATTGAGTATAATTCAAGCTTGTATCTCTTTTGAATTAAATTACTTTTATTTTATTTTTAAAATAAGAAACATAAGCATAAATATTACAGTTTTGTCACATTAGTAAGATAAATGTTTTTTTGAAATTGTTTTGTCTGAAAAATTGCTCTTTAGTCCTTTTTTTTTTTTCTTTCTTTTTTGCTAAATAGTAAGTGCTGGCAAAAGTATAATGTAATATGTTACCCGCTTGGCGTGGGGCGACAGGAGCTTAAAGACAAGGTTAATAAGGGTTTGCTGCTCTGCCTCATACTGCACTGCAGCAAGGCGGTGCACGTTTGTGCCCCCTCTCTAAGGAATGCATTCCAGCGCCTCCTACTTTTTCTAACTTGTTTTGATTAATTCACATGCTTTTCCCAGAAGAGCGATCTTTTACAATGTAACATACTTGGTGCTTCAGACTCTCATAAAACGAAACAACCAGACCTGACCTCTGTGCAGGAGAGTAGGGTGGCGATGGTCCTCTTTGTAGGGAAGTTTCTGAGGGATTTTAGCTTTTTACATTATTGGTACTTCCTACTTGGATTTTGAAATCCTCAGCTGCTTTTCTACTACCTTGAACTTGCCATGAAAAAAACTACATTTGATATATACCTACTTTAAAAAAACAAGTAAATAAAGAGGCTGGAGAGGTGATTCAGGAATTAAGAACACTTCCTGCTCTTCCAGAGGATCCAGGTCAAGCAGCTCACAACTGCCTGTGGCTACAGTTCAGAGTATTTGACATCCTCTTCTGGCCACATACACAAACACACAGACACACATAATCCCAGCACACACACACATACACACTTTGACACACATACACATAAAGTAAAAATATAATACAGCTTTTAAAAACAAAGTGAATTAAAAGCAATTGTGCTTGAAGTTTTAAAATGATGTCCTGTAGTTAAAGGGACAGCCTTGGAGAGGTACCAAACAAGTAGTTGGCATTGGTGGTATAGTGACGGTCATACCTTCCTTCCCAAGAGAACCTTAGGAATGCCCTTATTTAATGCATAGATAGCTTTTGAGTTTGCCAGATGTCTCATTAAGTACATTATGCCAACACTCTGATCATCTTAGCTTCCAAAATTTTCATTGAGACTCAAAGGGAGAAGGAAATACAATTGGGGACCAAAGTGATGTGTTAATGTGTCCTTCTAGTTTTCAAGGCTACTGAATTTTATACTTATCTTGTTGTGGTGTTTCTGGTTGCATTTTAACAGATAGAAATATGTCATGTGTTCCTATGGTTGTAGGAGCAGGGGGTTGTTTGTTTTGTTTGGTAAGGTGGCCTACTAACTTCTGACTGTTTTGAAAACTACTTCATATAATGTGTTAGCTGTAATTAATAATGTGCACTTTAAACTGTTTTCATAACAAAAAGATACGTGAGGTAATACATACATTAGTCCTGTCAGCCATTCCTCACCACTCACATACTTCAAAACATCGTGTCATATACCATACACATTTTTTTGTTTGTTTGTTTGCTTTGACTTTTATTTATGTGGCTAGTTACTGCTGGGTTTCTTCTGAACTGACTCCAGTTGCCTTCTGCCATGGCTCAAGGAATTAGGCGCCATGCTAGTAAGGAATAGGGCTGCTTGGAACAAAGAATGGCAAAAAGAGTTCAGAATAGTGAAAATTTCCTGTAAGTAGTTTCCCATTTGTATCTTTGCTTGAAGTTCACTTTCTATTCCTTATTTGCTCTATGGTTCGCTTGATGAACCTATATTGTGAAATTTTTTAAATTTAATTTTATTTATATAATTATTTATTATAACTTATTCACTTTGTATCCCCGCTGCAGCCACCTCCCTCATCTCCTCCCAATCCCACCCTCCCTTTCTCTTCTCTCCCTATGTGCTTTCCCTAGTCCCTTGGTAGGGGAGGTCCTCCTCCCCTTCTATCTGACCCTAGCTTATCAGGT